ATGCGCTTTTCAGTTGAGAAGCAAGCAAGTTGTTTGAGCTTTTTGGCGTTCTTCATAAACGACAGGATGATCAAAACAAAGAATTTTTGAATACCTTTGGTAAAAAATTCATCGTTATTCAACATTATTTTATTGTTTGAAATTGAAATGGATATGTGGTGAAACGAATACGAAACACAGATCAGATCAAGGTATAAATGATTTCAGGTGAAAATTGTTTCCAATTTATTTAATCCAAACAAACTGATTCAAGTTAAACTTTTTCAAATTTATCAAAATTAAAAGAGAGAGCATCATGTGAATAAGGAGATAAGAGCAGCAAATTGGTTGTTACACAAGAGACAGATTGAAGCAAGTTGGCTTATGTACAACACACAACCAATTAGTAGTACAAAAGGGATCCATTCTCGTCCAGCAAGTTGGGCCCATTGTTGAGTGTAGTGAAGCTCATCATGGTCGGTGGAACCATTCGAACTTGTTGAATTGAACTTGCTTGGGCATCGTTCGAACCCATTATACCGGAACTGCCTGTAAAACTGGATGCTGGTGCAACACGAAAACTGGCTATGGGTATGCCTAATGATCGTGTTGGATAACCGGATGATGAACTGCCTCGCGATGATGATGATGTTGACCGATGATATCCGCTGCCTTGACTGGCTGCCGTATTGGATGGTGAGAATGATGATGACGACGAAGATCCGGTGGATGATGTATAGCCAGCCGATGGTGATCCTGATGGTTGAAAACTTTGCGATGACGGCGACGACGGTGACTGAAAGTTGGAACTTGCAAACGAATTGGACGAAGGTACATCGAATCCTGACGACGATGAAGGATGGTGATGATGGTGATCGGAAAAGTCAGTGTTACCGAAATCATCTTGCGGTTGTTCGGTATATGTTGGTGGAGCAAACGTTTCAGGCGATGATGGTCGCAATGTCGGTTTAGACGTTTGTTGAGCGGGTGAATAATTGCTCAAAAGTGATGTACGACTTGCCGGTTGTCGATATAAGGACGATGGTTTTGCTGCCGATGCTCGATTCGGTGGTGATGATGATCGATCCAGATACGATTGTGGTGGTCGAGATCGAGTTCGCGATGGTCGCACAGGCTGTTCATCGTCGTCATCATCATCTTGGTCGGCAGTTGGTTGTGATTGTCGTTGATGAGCTTTTTGCAAGGCAGCTTGGGCTTGTGCTTGGAAAATCTGTGCAACTGGGTCACCACCCGAATAGTCAAAACCATCCGGATAGAATCGTTGATGATAAAGGATTGTGTTGTTTGGCCCACGCTCATCCAGTTCCTTTTAGAAACAACAAAAAACAGTGATGATTCAACATGTCAACCAATTTCGTTACAGCCTTACCTTGTGAAGGTATTCATTGACAATATGATATTTGGATGATTGCTGGCAAATATCCTGAGTGTTTGGTACACAATTCAAGTGAATCTGGTGGAAAACTGTATTTTCGGGACATTGCCAACTGTGTTTAACACCTTCCACGCAATAATGAAACACTTGACATCCAACCCTATGATCAAATAAATCAGTATAGCATTGCAATCAATCAACACAACATACGTTTCATCTGCATAGTAACCATTTTTGACACCATTACAACTGAATTTCGATTCGGACAATAACAACGCTAAACGATCTGGTTTACGTTCTTCTTCTTCTTCGGCCAATTTCTTCGCTTCCTCTTCCTCGCGATTGGCGGCAGTCTGCTCCAACACAGATATATCAGATCACATCAGGTAATCATTACAGATGATACTTACGTTCGATGATGATGGCGAATAACGAGATCGAGCAGGAGCGTCTCGCGAATATCCACCACTTGGATCGGTTACCGTTGCTGAATAAGTTTGTGCTTCAGCTTTCAATGGATGATGATCGTCGTTGGAATTTCGATTAAAAAGTTGTATAATTTCCTGATATTTTGACTATGCAATCACATTAGTGATCGTCGTCGTGGCAAAGACAAAATTGAAACATTAACAATACACAAACCGAGTGCAAATAGTGCGTACCTCAGGTTGTTCGTTGGCCGATATCCGAACGGCTTCAACGGCCACCATGCAGCCGATTACAATTGTCCATAGTAACCGTTGGTTGTTGTTTGTGGCCATTTCCTTAAAATCAACCAGACGAAAAAAACAAAACAAAACAAAAACAAAAATCCTGCTAACAAAAATCGATCCAAGTGAATTGTGCGAATGATCGACAACAGGCAAAATGGTGAATGGTGCCGAGTTTGATTGCTGTCTTTCTATTTATTCGACTACATCTTGCCATTCTTCCACTGGTCGAATCGACGAAGAAAGTGTCAGAGAAACAGGTTCGGGCGAGTATAATCTTTTCTCTCTTTTGCTTTCACCTTCGTTGAGACGTGTCATCTTCGTTCGTTTGCTCTTTGCTCCATTTGAAACATTATTTCTGGCACATCTGGGACATCTATGGTGGTGGTGGTAATGGTGTACCATTGCTGACTGGTTCCTGTTTTGGTTCGTCGACAACCAGTCAATAACCCAGTTAATCAATCAATCAATGATTGCCAACCAACCAATCATCATTATAACCGCCAGACTGACTGACTGACTCACTCACTGAATGAATGACATAACATGAACAAAACAATCCATACAATCGAAAAAAACACAAACCAATTGACAAGCGAAATGCCAAACTGCTCAATTTGTCAGTGGTTGTTTTCGTTGATTGCTGCTTGGAACAAATCATCAACTGGCAAAACATAGAGATCTGCAAATTGCCACCACCAATCACCACTGACCTGTCATTCGAATTTGTTAATGCTGTCTTTCTCTCCGGTGATTTGTTTATAAATAACCAAATCGATTCTGATCAATTCGACCATCACCTTACCATCCCATCATCACGTAACAACATCATCCAACAAATTGAGAGCATCAAGTTATGCCAGGTGATTATAATGAATGGCTGCAAGCAATATCAGTGCACGGAGCAGATGGCCAGGAAACGATTTGAACGATGATGCACACATTTCTCACCATCATTATGCTAAATGTTATTGCTAATTTTGTTCGCATAATCCCCATAGATAACATGATGATGGAACAACAACAATGCACCATCGCCGACAATCCGGAAGCTTCATTCTGGCTGGCAGATGCCTGCCATCTCCATCAACAATGCCATGCGCTCTATGATGATAACCATAACCATAATCATGTCCAAATCAGATTGATAGTATGGCTATTTTTGGGAAGTCCAATAGTAATCCATATCACACACTCAATGTTGATTGATTGATTGTGGCCAACACTGGCCCAATGATAATTGAGCACGATTAACCTGCTCGATTGATTCAATGCATGAACAGCATATTCATCTCATTCAAATAGGCCAACTAACCAATCGATTTTGGCACGATCAACAACAACAACAACAGGAACAACAACAACAAAAACAACAAGTCAATAACAACAACGTTGGGCTGTATCGATTTCCAATCTTGTTCCTGATTTTATTGTTGTTCAAAACAGAAAAAATCTACAATGTTCTCTAATTGTGTTTTGGATCAACAATCTGACTGACGCTTCCGACAGACTCATTCCAATATCATCATCACACACACAAACAAAACAATCACTCAAATCAACTCAACCAAGTTGCAACGTGGAAAGGATAGGATTAGACCCAGGCAATATTAATAAAGTTTATTTGATCGGTGACATTCACCAGCACATTTTGTCCTCAACATTTATCATTCTCATCATTAATATTGAATATTGCGATAGTGGACACACTTTAGTTTGGACAACTCTCTTTCTCTCTCTTGAATATTTACAGTGGGAAAAATGGTGATCACAACAGTCAATCATATCCGCCGCCTATGATTGCTGCTCGATTCAGTCATCAATTTCGATGCAGTGTTGGCCATATCCGATTCGTAGTGTTCGATTCTCCCATTTCGATTCGATGTAGTCGTCGAGGTTTCCATAGACGGTGATCGAGCTACCATCATTGATGCCGATACGGTCGAAGTAAAACGATCAACCGGTTCATTCGGTGACTTGTTTCGATCCTCATCCGCATTTGGTTTTTTGGCTGCAATTCTCAACGTTGTTCCATTGGCATAATTGACAATCATCATACCACGATCCTTGTTATCGTTCAAGTTTGGTTTCGAATGGCCACCATTCGAACGTCCTCTGTACGATCCGGTCTCCATATGATCTTTATTACTCGATGACGATATTTGAAAATCATCGAAAACTTCATCCGGCACATAGACATTGGCATTTGTTGCTATAGTCGCCTGTTTCTGATGACCGGACGATGTCTTGGGTCTTCTATTGACCGATGTTGCATTTGCTGATTTGATGGATTTGATGGATTGTTTGAGTAATTGTTTTGCCTTAGCCGTAGCCGACGCAGATGATGACTGATGCGATGAGGGAGGACGGTGAGTTTGATGGTTGATTTGTTCGCTGCTCTCAGTTTTCATGTGATATGAGGAAGGTATGTTGAACGATGTTGAAGCCGACATAGGACCACCATCATTATTGTTGTTGATTTGATCATAACCAGATGATTCGGATGCTTTTATCAATTGTTGTTGCAGATATGCATAGGATTCAGGCGTCCACCATGGTCCATAAATAGATATCGGCGACCAAGCAGCATTGTTTGCCAATGCGGCAGCCATCCTCAGCGATGAATCCATTGCTATTTTGTCATCGCTAGATTCCGATGGTTTCGGCTGTTTATTAGTGGCCAACGATTTGGCAAGTTTATTACGTAGAATGGATGGTATCAAATTGGTTAGTAAACTGCCCGAACGCCATGCTAGTTTGGGAAGTAATTTTTTCGAGTTGTTTTTGCCATTGTTCGCTTTATTGTTGTCATCATCCTTGTTGTTGCCCGATTTGTTGGCAGCCAATGCCGATTGTAGGGAGGAACGCTTTTTCAGTCGATGTTGATTGAATTGCAGAACGTATGCCGGCACTAGTTTACCATGATCTTTCAACGGAATCACTATTGGACGCAATAAGCTTGTGGCCATATTTTGACGATAGTCATCACGAGTCAAATTGATCGGTATCAATACCGGTATCGATAATGTGGAAAGTGGTTTGTTGTCTGAAGCGACCACCGTCGCACTAGGTTTGTATTCTTCGAATCGTTGTTGCAATCGAGTGGATGATGAATGCGGCGATTTCCACACAACCGGCGCCAAATTACTGCTAAGCTTATCCAACGACGATGATGAATTGTCATCACTGTTGTCATTGTCAGCGGATGATGTTTGCTGCAGCAACGATGATTGCAGCTGTCGCCAAAATCTGGGTACCATCCGAATATAATGAGATGGCAGTTGAACACTGTCTCGCAGAAATCGATGTATCGAATGCGATAATCGTTGTCGTGCATCATCAATCAACGATTGATTATTTTCACTGTGATGATAATCCTTGGATGGTTGTGTGGGCATCATCATCGATGGCAATTCGAACAACTGTTGTGGTAACATAAATTCCGACATATCGATTTGATCAAGCGAAAATGGTTGATCATCATCATCGTCATTATCATTGATTGGCAAAATGGCCGGTCGTTTTCGTATCGTTTGCATCGTCGTCGTGGGCATTGGAGGCGCCATGGTAATTCCAAACGATGGTTTACTATTGTTCGAGGTAGCAGATGATGTTGTTGCATTGAATTTGACCGATTCGATCATAGTGCCAGCATTGGACAAGGATTTGTTATTGTCGTTAGACGTAATGGTCGTTGTGGAATAGGTTGGCGGTACCAGAGTTGTCGAACTGATTGACATGAACAGCAACGAATCAGTAACAGGATCCGCGGTCAGGCTGGTAGATTGATTACGACGACAGCCATTCTGCTGGACAGACATTTGTTCGCAAGCAATCGATTCCTGATTGAAATAATTATCGGCTGGACAAACAAATGTGAACCCCTTTCCGTCCAGCTTGCAATAATGAAACATGTCGCAATAATGCTGATCGCCATAATATCCTTCGGTCTTGTTGCGGCAATCGAATCCAAGTGAAACATCATCATCATTACCATTTACCTGGTGAACATTTATAAACAACAAAATCAAAAACATAATTAGACATAACAACCAACCATCATTTACGGATCGATGAACACGCGCATAGTGTTAAATGTAAATGTAGTGAGCCACGAAATAGGTCATCACTTCGTTGGGTGACGATCATTTCATTTGATCATCGTTACACTGAACACTACTGCTTACTGATAATTAATCGATGGAAGCTAACTAAGATCACTGCCATATTGATATCGAGGACAACACTCTGTCATCAATCAAGATCATCAATCGATATACTTACTTTTGCATGTTGGACCGATAATCCATTTTCCACACTCATTATTGATTCATCGGCAATCTGATCGTTTGGATCATATATCTCATAACATTCGATCGAAATATAACCTATGGAAACAAAGTGGTCAATCACAATATCCATTGCTGGTCATACAACAGTTTACCTTGATGAAACAATAACATCATTATCATCCATATCGATTGGCTATTGATCCTCTGCTGCTGCAGAATTCTGGTCATGTAGAAATCATTGGTCATCATTATCATCAATTATGGTTCGATGTTGAAGCCAGAAAAACGAGTCAAAACGATTCTTAATCATAAGATGTGAAAACGAAAAAACAATATTTAATCAAACAAAATCTAGGCACTAAAACAAACTGAGCACAGGGTACACAGTAACATGGTACGGGCCAGGAATTTTCAATGCACGATTATTATGATTATTGCTGTTGTTGTTTGTCAAACAAATGATCATCAACTCAACAAACATTCAACTGAACGAATGATGGGCAAAAAATGAAATTTTCGCAAAAATCCCATTTCACCCACAATTCGCTCTCTTCATCAGCATTATTCATCGAATTTGGAGAGAAATCTCTTCGGGTCGGTGCTCGTCCACGCGTAGCGACCAACTAAATCGGGGTGACAAGTCGAAGCAAACAAATCCTATCGACGACCGTACCGATGACGATCATGGCGAGAATGACAACCAACCATGAAATTGGTCACCAAACCAAACCAAGCAACCAAGCTCGGTAATTGTTTTCCACTCCAAAAGATATGGGTTCCATAAATATTTTTCTGTTTTTGGCAACCATCCAATTATAGCGTCCCACCACCGGCCTGTAATTGGTCCAAACTCTCATTTCCCATAAACTTATCAATCATCAATCTTGGACACTGCAGTTTGGTCAGTCACCTTATCCATTATCATCCTAAATATCCTAAATATACATTATATCTTTCCTCGCGTTAAAGTGCAAAATTCATTTTCTTTTCTTTCCCTTTGCAGACTATATCCACTTCAACAGATTCACTGTGTACTGCATCAGCTGAGTGATTCATGTGGATAATGCTGCTTCTGCCGTCAACTTGTTTGAGGACCAGGACTTTATCGTTGGTCATCGCTAGCCGTAGTTTATCCAATCAGTTGATCCAGATCGATCAACATCATGTTCGCGAGCGACAAGTTCGTGTTTGTCGACGTTTTGGTCAGAATAATTGGCTGTTGAGACCTTGGTTTCTTCGTTACATACCTCGAGATGGCTACCCGATTAATGTTCGTTACGTGGATACCGATCCCGACAACAATGCAAACCGACCGGTGATTGTGCTGCTACACGGAACCCCGGGCAGTTATTATGATTATTTTCGTTTTATTGCTGATTTTGGTGATCGATATCGATGTATAGTGCCTAACTTTCCCGATTTCACCCACACCATTCAAAGTGGTGGCTGTTTTTGGCATTCGGCTGAAGAAAAATCAGAATTCGTTGCCGATTTGTTGGCAGATTTGAAAATTAGCCATGTTCATTGTTTAGTAGCGCATTCATTGTCTGTTTATACGGCATCCTACCTATGGATTTATGCTAATCAAAAGCCTTATTTCGATCTTGATTCGATATGTTTGATTAGTCCGGCCGGACGATTTCGTTACCGGAGGCGACATCGTATTCGAATGCGATTACTCAGTCAAATGTGCCGAATGTTATGGTTGCGGAAAATGATTCCCCGAACGTGGTTGGCCAATCGATCGGCAGTAACACCTTTGTTGTCTTCGACCAACATGCTGGCCAATAGAAACATTGCCATGTGGAAAACATTGACTGAAAATCTGTCCAACTATGATAGCTATCACTTGCGATTGCGAGTATTGGCCAATAATCTTCAATTGCCAACACTATTCATATACAGTTCGAATGATAAACTTTATCCTGCCGATCTGTACTATGAACAACTCTATGAATTGCAAATAACTGGCGATGAATTTGATAAATATGAACATTATGAAAATCGTTTGGTACAAGTTGCTGCCGACCATCACGATCGTTGGATACGGGTAGTTGATTTTAGTGGCGGTGGACACTATCTTCATAACACACATAGCTATCTTATTCATTCCTACATCGATGAACTGCTCAACAATATCACTTGAACACACACAATCAAATGCCGAAAAGGAAAAGATAACCATTATTTATTGTTTAATCAATGAAATATAATATTAAATGTGTATGTAATCAATGATTTAGCGATTGGCCAACGAATACTTTTGCTTGCCATACTCGTTCATAACGCAAAGATGCTGTGTGAGAGAGAAAATAAATGAGTCAGTCAAATCAAATCAAATCAAATCAATGATTGATATTTACATTCAAATCGCGGAAGTATTCATTATAATCCATATTACAGCCAACGATAAATTTGTTGGGTATGCTAAATCCCGTATCTGTGTGTGGAAAGAGAGAATGATGATGATGATAATCAACCTTGATAGTTGTTCTTACATTTGGGCATATATCCGTTGCTGAGTGGTGTTCGTTTCACCAATAAACTAGTCACCCGAATAGTACGAGGTTCATATTGTTCTAATAATTTCAACAATTTAACCATAGTACGGCCGGTGTCGATTATATCTTCAACAATCAATACATTCTGTTGGTGGTGGTGGTGGTGGTCACAATCGGTTAATCATCATCATCGAATGGCAATTAGACTTACCCGACCACGAAGTGATTCCAAACTTTCCAAACCGATCACTTGAATTTGGTTGGTAGACTTTTCATTTTCATACGATTTCAATCGAATGAATTCCACTTTGATTTGCTGTGCTTCATCATCTTGCAGTTCAGGATCATCCAGGCAGCGATATCGATGCAGTTGACGTATCTTTTCCAGCAAGTTGTTGAAAAACAGATAGCCTCCTTTCAATACGCACAATGCAGTGAATGGTTCGTTGCCCAAATCGGTTGCTATATCACAAGCCAGACGTTCGATCCGATCCTGTATAAAACCACCCGGAATAAGTACCGATTGCAGATATTTGGACAGGTTGGGCGTTATACGAAACGATTCCAATGAATATCCTTCAAAGTCATCGCCAATCTTTGCGTAACAATCAATCAAATCATCATCATCAAGGACAACAACAACAACAACTTACCACGATTGGCGGACTACTTTTTGATTTCTGTATTGAATTGCCGTTCTGCATGTTGTTTTGGTTGAATGTTACCTCGCAACAATTAACCACTAATCGAAAGTGCTGGTGAATAAATGATCACGATGGTAATGCTTTTATATATTCGCTGAAAATAAAGTTTTTTCCAAATCAAAAATGTTTGTAAACCGATCCGCCGCCATAAAATGTACACCATAAACAATAGCACCAAGTGATAATGACAAAACCAGTTATAACTAAACGTGCGATAAAAATCACTTGATCGTGATGGCCAATCGAGTAACTGGTTCATCTCTGTGTGTGTGTTGGTGTGAGAATGTGGCTAATGACTGTTGTTGATAATCATGATATCACCAATGCAACCTGCCTGTTTTCTTTCTCTCTGTGTATGTTGATTTTATTATTTGGCCATCAATTATACCTCGACCCCTTCTCGATTCGATTGCTATTTATTATCGTTTGATAAATCATAACATAATAACAATGTCCTATATGGTCTAAAATTAGCTTTTGCATCGTAAAAATATTTCTGATACAAAATACAATAGCCAAAAGTGGTGGTTATAATCATCAATCTATCGATACTATCGATATTGTTCCGCATGTGTTTGTTATCCAGAAAAACACCTTGATCATCATCATGTCTCGTCAAATATCAAATCATCTGGTCAGACATGTTCCATCATGGTAAGTTGGTGGTAAATAAAGAAATGGCATTTTACTCACTAGAACTTTGTAATTAAATCATAGGACAATGACATCATCGGTGAAACAACTGCATACGACCGTACCAATGCAATGGGTACAGAAACAGACTAGATTACGTGTTGTGGATAATTCCAAATTGGGCCGTGAAGCTATGACCGAAGGCAAACCAGTCAAATGTATTCATGTCTACAAAAAAAATGCCAAAATTCAGGATGGTCAATTGGGCGATAAGGTTCTGGTCACTATCAAAGGCCAGATGAAACGAGGTTACGTTGTTGGACTGGTTGCCGAACAACGACCAATGATACCGAAATTCGATACCAACAATGTTGTTCTCGTCGAAAACAATGGCAATCCTTCGGGTACCCGCGTAGTCGTGCCGATACCCAATTATCTACGTAGTAAAGGAGCCGAATTGGCTAAAATTGTAGCCATTTCTAGTCGCTTTGTGTGATATTTTTAAATTATCTAAATAAAACCCTTTTTGAATGATTGACAATGTAACATTGGTGTGATAAACAGAGTGTACCTGTACTGTTGTTACCTTGAACACAACATCAGAACGTAAGAAAAACGTTTCGTTCAATGGTGGTTGATGAGTCATGATTTTTGTATGATTCAGAGCTGCCTGCCTTTCACTGTGCTTGTGGCTGGCAGACATTCTCGAAACGTCTCGAAAGACGTAGACATTGCATCATGCACCACTACCGTTATCGACACGATTTTGTAGTGCCCAAACTTTCAGACATTGCTGATTACTGCCTGTGAACATATTTTATGAATGGTCGATTTGTAGACAATGGAACATTGACATTAAAGATGTGATTATCAAGGTAGTATGTCTGGCAACAGCATTTTGTTAAATACGTCGTTCAATCGTTTGGAGCACATCATTTCATCCAAAGCGCTCGTTCAGTCCATTTCAGTGAAAATTGAATAATAACTTCTGATTTGATAATTGATTTTGTAATTTGTTAAATAATTTTTACCGACAAAATGTTTTGCTAGTTATTCTCGCAAATCATCCATCATCAACAGTCCAGAATATCTGGGTGAACTTACCACAACCAACAAACTACTAAACTTGAATCCATTCAAAATGTACTGATTTGTTTGCCAAACAATTGAATCCAATCGAATTTAACTAATCTTTTTTTCTTACTCTTAATAATATACAGGGAGTTGCTTACGTTAATTTCGTTGATTAATCATAATCATTACAAGCATAACACCGATAATTACAAGAATCACAATGAAACCTATGATTGGAATGGCATGTTGGCCAACACCAACACAGGCCAAATCATTGCCCGTTGATCCTCATGATACAGTGTTGGACAGTTTTGCTGAACAACAGCCGACGATCACCCCCTTACCAAAACAAGCATTGGACATAGATAACGAATGGTGTCTTGATCATAAGTCGATCAATACTGATGCTGGCATTTGTTTGGATGATATTCCTTTTGATTTTGATCTAATCAATTGTACTGATAGTCAATTGGAACAGGTCATATTCCAACAATGCCCCATCATTTCTAGCAGCACCGACCACAATAATAATGATAACGACGATTTTTGCCACGGTTTTGGCAATCTCTCGTTCGATGGCATTGAATCGCTATTGAAAAAAGAGGATTTCGAATTCCTCAACATCAAACCAAGCCAGGATCTATGCTCGCCAGACATTGGCCCATTTTCACCAAGCTCGTTGCCCGCAACATTCGATGATGACGAATTCGAGGACGACGATCAAAGCAAACAACAATCACCAATCATCATCCAATCACCAACCACCATTTCATCGATAGAAGAGTTTCAAGGGCAAATAAATTCATCCCCTAATCCATTACCACATTCATTAGATGTAGCCAACTATGAAGAAGTATGCACATCAATCGCCTTCCAAAATGGCAATCAACAACAATCATCGACCATCATTTCATTAGTAGACGAAAAAACCGATCCAGAACAAACTCATCTCGACTTTTTGAACCAATGTTGCGAGCAACAACAAGCTCAATTGGATGACGATGACCATCTCAGCCTTGCTTCGTCATATATGACCATGACCACGACTGTATCATCACCCTACAAACGTAAATCGACGGTAGACGAGGATGGTGACCATAAACCAGTGACCATGACGAGAAAGCGACGTCGAACTAAGCGTATTCTGGATGATCGTATCAAATACCAGAATAAAGTTGCAGCTATGCGATATCGTCAAAAGAAACGAGAAGAAAAATGTCATATTGATGATTTGTTCGCCATCGAACAGCGACGCCATGATCGTCTATCGAACCGAGTGGAAGAATTGACTGTGCAGATAAACGTACTGAAAGAATTGTTGGCTAAATATCTCTCTCCCAAATTACTCAACAGTCAAATGCAGATCCTGGCTTGAATCTTACCTTAACCAGTATAATGTTATCACATCACATAATACACATAATGACTAATTGTTTGTTTCATTAATAATGATATAATTAATCAATAATCATTAATAAAGTAGATTTATTGTTTGTATCGAAATTGTTTCTCTCTATGTGGGATAGTAATAAAATGTTTGATTTGGAGTGTGTGTGAAAAACAAAATGAAATATGAGAGTATGGATCGATTGGTTGGTCATTGAGTGCTGTTGCTGATGAGTGCGATAATAATGTACAAGTAGTCAATTCATTAACTTGGTTGTTTCCAATGTCTGTGGCAAAAAAATGAAAAGAAATGATCACCCAACTGGTGGTTTAGTTAGCAAAAATTCGAATAAAATGCATGAATTGAATGATGAGGATGATGATTTGATGATAATGACCCATATATGATAATTGTTCATGTTTGATGGCCACATTGCATTTCGGATTCACCATGACCGCATCCGCTGTGAATCAAGCATCGGCAGCTGTGGCAGAAGCCAATTCTTCGCCAATTTCATCGGCATCTAAATCTTGATCATCATCGTCTTCCTCTTCTTCTTCGTCGTCGTCGCTAAGGTCTTTCGTTTTCTTGGCTATTGTTGCAAAGAATAAATGACAGAATGATAATCAGATAAAATGTTTGTTCGATTCGTTACCTTTTTTGGCTGCTGCACGTTTAGGCGGTCTACCAGGCGGACGTTTGTTGCCTGCTTTGCGTTTGTTACCAGGACCATCATCCTCGTCGTCATCATCATCAACAAAGTCAGCATCGGCGGATTTGCGATTCGAACGAGCGGATTTGGGAGCGGCTTTCCTTTTAGTGGTATGGCGATCTTCGTCCAGATCCAAATCGTCCATATCGTCATCGTCGACAATATCGTCGTCCAAATCATCATCTTCGGATTCACTGCGAGCAACACGGCGCGTCGATTTCCGCGTAGGTGCTTGTCGTCCTCGTTTTGCTCCAGATCGACCGGCCGATGATTTTTTCGGTGTCGATTTCTATCCATGAAAAAATTATCATTCAATGTGTTTGATTGATGTTTGAATTGCTTACCTTTTTCTTTTTGCCCCAATCGCTATCCGAATCTGAATCAACGTCAGACTCTACGTATTTGCTACGGGATCGGCCACCTCCACCACCGCCACTACTGCTACCACGGCCTCGACCACCTGATTTGCGTTCAACTTCCCAGTCGCTGTCGGAACCACTGCTTGCCGCAGCAGCTGCACCGCGTTTGCGACCACGATTTGGTCGATAATCTTCTTCGCTTTCGCTTTGTTGCCATAGTTCGTCATCACTGGCCACAAAATCATCCAACGATACAACGTTCGTTTTGGTCTGTTTCTGTGCACGTCTAGGTCGTCCACCCCGATTCGAACCGGCAGCCGATTGTTGTTGACCTGCCGCTTTAGCGTTAGCGGTTCGACGATTTTTAGCGGCCGGAGCCGATTTGCGTTTCGTAACAACCTCCTCTTCTTCTTCTTCTTCGGCATCATCATCATCATTGACGTCCTCGCTGTCGACGTCTTCATCATCGTCGTCGTCATCATCATCCTCATCATCATCTTGTTCATAGTCGCTTTCGTCTTTGGATTTGGATTGAGGAGTGGTCGTTGCTGCAGCAGCAGCGGCGACTGCCGGTTTGCGACCACGCTTTTTTGGCTGTTCTTGAGCCGGCTGTGGTTTATCCTTGTTATTATCGGTATCCTTGGTATTTTCATCATCATCATCGGCCGCATGTTTAGCATTGGCAACCGTAGAATCGGTCGCTTTTTTCGATTGAGTCGAACCATTCACGGTGTCATTGGCTGTTGTCGTGGTTGTAGGGCTATCATTATTGATGGTTGCCTTTTTGTTGGCAGCATTGGCCACATCGGTCGAATCGTTTTGTTGTTGGATATTATCGTTGGTAGTCGTACTGCTGACCAAATCTTCAATAAATACCTGGTATTTGTATTGTTGCGCTTGAAAGCCAAACACATCACCATGATTTAGATTCAATGTGTTATCTTTTTTTATCAATTTTGGTGTCGATTGCGGATCTTTGCCAAAATAGAATGTCGGATTGACGTGCAGCTAACCAAAACAAACACAGAAAACCAAGTCAATATTCATCCGTATGCTCAACTTTGCTCCAACTTACCGAAGTTAGAATCACTTCTCCACTGTTGGTCACTTCGATTGCTGCATGGGTCCTGGATACTTTTTTATCGGCACACTATGATAAATTTAACATTAAGCAATTTAATATCATTGCACCACCAGATACTCACGTCCAATAACTGACCGCGTCCCAATGTAGTGGATCCTATGGGAAGATCCACTTCCTTGCAGGTATCACTGCTTAGCGTTTTCAGAAAGATTCGCATTGCCTTACTGGATGACTGGGTTTGGAGTGGGGATAATTGATGATTGATTGATGACGATGACAAGTTTATAATCACACAATCACACACTTGTCATGAGCCGGTCAATTTATATTTTTCACTTTTATCTTCTTCACCTCAATTCTAATCGTATCCGGTAACTCGGAAAAATATTGTCAAACCAAATCTACTGTTGTCGTTTGCTGAGATGATCAATTTCTTTATCCACAACAAACACCGTGAAAAGCAAGAGAAAAACAAGATAAACACCACACACACAGCAAAAAAGATTCCTTGCCTTTGTCTGTCCACACCAGGAGGAGAGAGAGCCGAAACACGAACCGAAATCAAAACCCAACATAAGCGAAGACAACGGCGGCTCACGTTCGCCACATAATAATGTCTGCCTTCATTTCACTGCTCATGACTGCTACTTGTATGGTGTTATCCACTACCACCGCCACTGCCACTTCTGGCCACCATAGCGGCGCTATTGTCGTCGTCGATAATACCATCATGGCAGCAGAAGCAGCCATTGAAGCAATTGTATCCATTAGCTGCCGCAAGATGACAGCAGCCTTACTATTTTTTGAATTTGGGGGCTGTCTATATATAGACTGACAATCGAGATTTCGGATCTCTCATCTTTCGGTGATGAAGATGATGGTCGAACGCCAGATAGTCGTTAGACGTGGTTGAATGAAATTCTCGTGCAAACCGAAAACTTGATTGATAGTAAAGTTGTGATTATTGATTAGTTCTTCGCCGACTGATTCAAACAAGCGAAAGCAATGGCCCATCATTGCGACCATCATCATCATTATCGCCAACAACAACACATCAACATTTGCATTGATCATCAATGGCAATCAGGTAATTAATTAGAACTATTGATTTACAACTGTTGATCGATTGTCTTTGACATCGATAAGATCATGGCCATTTTTGTAAGAATCAATAATGCATGTTGATGAATATGGATTGGATTCATGATGAATAATATTCTATGGCCATTATCAACATCATTACGGCATTGACATCATCAGGCAAGAAAGAATAAACATGACGAGGAATTAATAATGGCCACCCATATCTATTAATAGCCATCATTCACTTTTCATGAAAACTAATGTTTCCCATTTTTTTGTTCACTTGAAAAAAAAGATTTTTCAACTGAAAAATTCCTCCCCACCGAATAAAGAGCCCCATTAATGACCAAACAATGGCTTGAAACACAAACACAAAGCACCTGATGCCTTGAACCAGCCAGCTCTTTTGCTCTTTTGCTTTCGTTAACGATCAGCCAAGCCATTAATTCGCACAATTTGGCTTTTTTGTTTGCTTTATTCTTTGCTGATAATTTTGAATCAATGTAATCAACGATAATAAAGCAGAGGGTGTGTTTACTTTGCTCATCTCTCTCTCTATTCTCATTATTCTTTATGACTTTATCGACCACAATTTTCTTTTCGTTTGACAAATTAATCAACTCTAGTCCAACTCAATCGATCGATCGGTGATGAGAAAAATTTGCTATTTTCGTCCATAAACAAACAATGTCATTCAGGCAAAATAAACAAACAACGGAAATGACCAGGCGTATTCCTTACTGCCTATTCATATTTCCCTTATAATCGATATAGGATTTTTATTAATTAAGCTTTTATTCATAGCCAAGAATCAACATAATTCCTATGCACACCTCTTCTTGCTATTTGCCCTAATCATCGTCATCATCCGTTGTCCATTGAGCCGAGTTAATTAATTTGTCCGTTGCCGCTTGTCTAAATGTTTTTTCCGCTTGTCTTGCCAATTACATGGTGTGAGAGAAAAAGTGTGACAACCATTATTGTCTGTTTGTTCATTACCAATCTCCATTAATCATTAATTCATTCATTATCAAAACAAAACAAAATGAACGCTTCACTGCATTGCATTTTGTCATAATAATAATAATAATAATGGTAATGATAATAATGTCGGCTCATTAGACAATGTTGACAACAAGAATCAGCATCCTTCATTTACATTTATTATTTTTCGGATATTTCGCTTAGATTTGCTTATTTACAAATTAACAAACACCCAGCCTCAGTCAGCATCACTTGTGAACAACACTGCCACTCACCCTTGACATTATCATCATTCGGCAGTCAGTTGTTAAGTCAGCATTATATTAATTAGTGATTCACTTCTTTCATTTTGCTGAATTAATTATCCATTCGTTTTCACTTACCATCGCAGTCATCTTCATTTTCAATCCATTAGCTTTGTATCCGGACTGAACTAGATTTTTTGATTTTTTGATTTCTTAATTTCCTTTGTTTCTTTTTTCGCACATTTTACGCACTCCAAAAAGACAACAACCATGTTCCGTTCCGTTTTCTCATTCTGACATTCTGAATTCTCTGGATCGATCTCTAACTGACTGACTAGCTAACTAAAGCACCATACAACCATAACAAGCCAAACAACAAACAAAGATGACCGAGTCAGCCAAAAACATCGATCCACACTGCATTTTCATTGTGAAAAACCGTCAAATGACGTAATTGCAGTTGAAACTCCCCTATTAAACTTTACCTGTCTTTAATTTAACTTAACTTTCGCATTGTTTGCATGCAAGCCGCAAAAATCAAACAAACACAAAGACAGTTAGCTAGATTATGGACTATGGTGATGATTACAGTTTTGATCTGGCCATCATCATTGTCCTCAGGTAGTGTTGCATAAGAATGAATGCATGAATGAGCCTAGAAATCGTTTCACCATGGCACCTTGTCATTTTGATCAAAACTTTTTGTTTGTTTATTTTTGCGCTTCGATAAAGCCGTGATTTCATTGTGCTTATCTTCATTCCAATCTCTTTTCTTTTTCTTTTTTTGTTGTTGTCATATTGTAGCCAGTATAGCATCGCACCGAGCATTGAAAAAGCAATATCAAAATCGTTTGGTTAGAGCAAGTAAGAATCCATCTAATAACAGCATAATGAATAATCGATCGGCAACATGGTTACAATATTCATCATTATGGCCAACCATCAGACACTATCCTCATCACTATCATCAGCATGGTCATCAATATTGTTTTTGGTTCGGTTTGATGATGATATTGTTGGTGGTATTGATGGCCGATTCGGGTTCCAGTTCAGTATGGGAGCAAAAAGGTTGTCATATTGTTGGTCATACTCAACGCATTGATATTCCTGGTTGTATTAATTTCGAACTAACATCAAATGCTTGTCGCGGTTATTGCCTATCATATGCAATACCTTCCAATCAAGAAACGTTATTGGTAAATGATCAGCAAATGATTACTTCGGTTGGTAATTGCTGTGCAATGACTGAAACGGAAGTGGTAAGTTTTTTATATGAAAATAGTGAATGCCTCACAAACCATTCCCCAGAGATTGACATTTTTGTTTGATGCCCATCCAATTCGTTTGATTGCTCGATCCATGAATCAAATTGAAATGATCAAGCATACGTAGCTTCTTTGTTTCTATTCACAAATCATATTTGCCCATGTCGATGACAAAAATGTTGTACCGAGAAAAAGCAATAACCATTTGGCATGGATAAAGAGAAAATGATTTTGCTGCAAATGGCATCCCAAGTGAAAATGATGACTATAATTAACCTGCGATCTTGCAAGATATCATTATATTGAACAATATTGATATTTATAGCCAGTATGTGTGTAATAGTCAAACCACCACCACACCAGCATTCATTTTCATTGAATCAATAATTGATTTGAAATGGATTAAATATTCATTAGATAGCAAGATGCCATTTTTTTGATTAGTCTAATAGATAATAGATGATAGTTATAGCAATACTAATAATAATGTCCACCCTATATACTAATTATATATTTCTCTCTCTCTCTCCCTCTCTTTTCCAGATGAGCGTTAGAGTCATGTGTCGTAATGGGCCAAAAGATATTAAATTTAAATCAGCATCTAAATGTGGATGTTTTCATTGTAAAAAGTATTAAACTTTTGTTTGTTTGGCTGCTGCTGATCAACAATTCAATTAAAACTAAACTAAACTAAACTGAATGGTCATCGATGATGTGATTGATGAATAAATCATCTTCATCTTTCTCCCAATCTCATCCATCTTTCCTATATTAATCTTTTCATAAAAATAATTATTATTCAATGTAGCAAACTACTCTATCGATAGTATCGATAGTCGATTTGGTTTTTCGTTTCTCTTTCTGTTTGCTGTGATTCATTCATCCTTTAATCCGCTCCTTTCCTTTCCTTTTCTTTTCCGACCATTGTACAGCATTCGTCATTGTACTTCTCTCTGTAATGACAATATTGATTGTTAACCATAATGATAATGATATTGATATATTGATACATTGATATATTGATTATAATAATAATAATAAAATCCATTACACAATAATCATCATCATAGTAATAATCTTCCATTCGTAACATCCAACAACATTGAATTATTCATTCGCAGAAACATTGCTACGTGATTCGAGCAAGTTTCATAAACACAGATCGCCACTACCTTGACTGGCTGACTCATCCATAATGGATGATTGAATCAACAAAATCTAATTAAGCAATTACACACACGTCACACACACTAAACAAAAGCATTCCTTCCAAAAAACAACAGATTCCGGTGTTTATCATATCGTCCTCATCAGAACTATCAAGTGGATTACTTTCGGAGAAGATCGATTCATTCGCATAATCCAAGTGCCCATGGATCAAGTGGATCAGACGGGCGCCATTCAGCCAATACATCTCATCGAAACAAAGTTTGAAAAACAATAACAAACATTTCTGGCCAAAGTAAATTTCCGAGTAATAATTATTATTGTTTGTCAAAATTCATTTCCCAAAAAAGTTCGGACAAAATTTGAATTGCAAATTTTTTTGTCTAAAAAATTTCTGTCAAAAAATTGCCATTCTCTTCACATAATGACAATCGGCAACTTTTTCCAATTTAAACTTGAATGGCAAATGTCGGTTTGCCTTGGTTCGGTTGGGATTTGTTTGGACAGAAAATGTATAATCTCCATCCATTCTCCGTATGCCACCTTTCAATGGTAATTGGATGTTTGCCAATTCCTATTCAACCACCAACACATCGAATCAAATCAAGGGATAATTATCACTAATTCCAATATAATGATCATTCATTCACTCTCCAATTCACCTTTCAATTCAATCAATTTGAAGCCAACTAAATACAACACTAAACAAATGCATTCTTTTCTTGCTTTCTTCAACAATTTTATTGGAAAATAATTATATAAGCAGGGCAAAACAAATAAAGAACAAAATCAGATCAGGTGATTGAATGTATGAATGATTGCATGAATGATTGTGTGATTGATTGTGTGGTTGGTTGCATGTTGCATTAAATATAATCGAGATCGATTGATGAACTTTCACAATTGATTGATGATGTTTCACAACGACGACAAACACAGCGTCTAGCAACCATCGCTTCGTATGACCGCAATGATTCGGGTGCGCCTGGATCACAATCAGTCAATTCATATCGTCGTTTTTCGACCAGGTCATGAATGCAAACATTATGAAATGAACGTTTATATGGAAAACGATAGTCGGATATCTCACCGCTGGAACAACGACCCCAACATGATAACAGCCGGATATAATCGCGACATTGTAAACCGGTTTCAGGATCTGTTCGCACAGCTTTGAATGTGAATGAACGTTCATGACAATCCAATGTTCGTTGCACGGTCAAAAATTTGCGTCGAATTTTTTCATTGATTCGCCATTCTTTGTTGCTTGCCGCTGGTGTAAACGGATGTACATTTCGGCCACCATTCATAGCGGTTTCGACCATAGCTGTGACGGTGGTGGACAATGAAGGCAATGTCAATATGAAAATCAGCGATATTATTATCGTTACGATTACGATTGGTAGTCGCATCTCAACAAGAACCATTGTTGTTTTCGTTTTATTTTCCATACAATTTCAGTAAATCAAGATTATTCAATTAACATACCATAATCTTCAATGGCTGATGTTTTGTGAAACATTTTAAATCTTCGTAACCGAATGATTGTCACGAACCGTTCCATCAACCAAACCAAACCAACCAATCCGGATCGAGTCTGTCCTATTCGATGGTTATGATAAATCGTCGCGCGTCGTTTCCAGTTTTGATTTTGGTTCGGCCAAAATGTTCACGAATCAATAAGATGGGAGCCACATCCCATCAACGATACTGTTGGCCATTAGGATTCTTGGATTCGGCGTAACAAAACAAACTAAACATTGTCCATGATCATGATCATCATTCCATTCCGAAAATCAATGAACCACAGTCATGTCATCTAACGGATTTGTTTGTAAACATTTTTTCGAATTGGATTTCTGAATCCGGTGAATAGATGGCGCTAGTGATATATTTTTTGATTTGAAATGAAACCGGAATGCGAATGGAAATGAAAAAAACTAATAACATTCAAATATAATCATGATCAATGTCAATGGTATTATGGTCATCATTAAAATGTGTAATATATAAATAACACACATCATTTATTCGGTGGTGATCACGTCAGCCACAGCCGAATCAAAAATGATGACCATAATAAATAACGACAAGACTCAATCATCTTGGGACCAAACAACCAAACCAAATTAAACTAAAATCAAACCACCCAATAATAATCCGATTCCAATTTATTACCAAAATGGCCGACCATTATCGCATTCTGCCAGTAATATGTTTCCGGCTTGACAATTTTTTGGTTTCATGGTTTGTGTATTCATCTCATGTACAATATTATTAGCCAGCCGATAATGGATGCAACACGTTCGTCATTCGATCCGATCAACCAGCCAACTGACCAAAAAGTGACCAAACAGTGATAATCTCTGAAATGAAAGCATCTTTTCGATTGTTTGCTTATAAATATCATTTGGAAATGCCTTGCATGGAAATGAATATTTCATTAAATGTTGGCCATAATGTAATGCTAATGAAATGTTTGTTTGAGTATTGCATTGTGTGTTTGGAGGTAATAAATAATTCATTCTCTTTGTTTTTCCTCTCTCTTTCCCAATTGAATTCGTTCCATTGCCTGCTTAGCATCAATTGAATCGAATCGGAACTAATAATAATAATAATAAACATTATCGATTGATAACCAAACAATTTTCATATAGACTAATTTCTTTAAAACAATGATGGTTGGTTGGTTTGTTTGTTTGGTTTGGCTGACTGGTTTGAAAAGAATCTGATGAAGCGAACAAAGATATATATAGAAAGCCTATTATCAATTAGTCAACTTGCAAACTTTATATTCTCTCTTTTCTCCTAATTCAATTATTGCACGCACCAATCACCGCTTCGAATTTAATCCGAAAAACTCGACAGTTGCCATCACTACCAGCATCGAATCATTTTCTCCCTTTCTACCTAAAAACATTTTCAAATCGGCGTCAAAACTTTATACAATTTTTTCGTTAATACCATCATGAGTCGCTAAATTGAATTAGTGAAATCATCAACAATCTCTTTGTCTATTCATTCATTCAATATTAATCCTTGCAATAGCCAAACCAATCTGACTAATGGCATTCCAACCTTGCAACACCCAAATGCCACTCTGCCATTTACCAGGAAAAAATCCTCCCACACAAGCTCCTATATGACCAAAACCTTAAAAGGTGTAAGGTTAGTTAGTGCTATTTCCATCACCACCATTATTTATTATCACCACAAACAGCAATTGTAAACAAAAAATGCTCATTTCCATAGAATTTCTCCAACCCGGGTTTTGTTTATGATTGCCATATACATTAATCCCAATGTTTCTAACTAAATAAAATAAAAGCAAGTGAATAATAATGGCAGGAAAGCGATCATTGAAGGAGCAACCAAATATTCACATCAAATTCTCAATGATGATGATGTTTTATGTTTGGAAAATGAACAATAGCCAAAACAAACAAAACAAACAAAACAAATGGCCATAATAAAAAAAGTGTTTTATTGATCCAGTGATGATGCTGTCAATCCATTAGTGGTGATGGAGAGCAAACAACCATCACCACTAAATGATTTAAGTTTTTCCACCAACATTCATTATGAATCATACGTAACCATTCAACTTATTGACTAGCCCTCAAGGCAATTTCGGTATCGAGAAAATTGTATACATATAGAGACAAGCAATCAAGCAATCAACTCTTGACGACTGTCATCATTTCGAATCAAGTCAAGTGTGTTCTGGCCATGTTAATTGGCTTTCCTACAACAAACCAGACAACAACAACAAATGCTAGTCTTGTCGAAACATGTCGAGATTGTATTTATCGAATGATGATGATGATGAGTCCTATGAGAGAATTTCATTCATTCGAATAACAAAGTCATTCATGTTGTTGTTGTTGTTGTTGTTGTTGTGCATGCTTGTCTCATCATTGCAAGGGAAGCAGATAATGCTTTTTGTGTGATACGTGCAGAGCGGCCTTCCCAACCGGGGAATAGTTTTTGTGTAGTTGGTTTCCTCCATTGCCACACATGCACGCACACTTCTCTCGCTCGGGTAATTGAAAATTCAACATTGGTTTCTCTCTCTCTCCTTTAATACCATAATAATATGGCACTTTACTTTTTCCTTCTCTCACCCAAAACAAACTAAAAAACAAACATGATTCGAATTCCAATGAATGCCATTCAACAACAACAAAAACCGAAAGAAAGAGTTTTTTCCTTTCCGAATTCTCTCATTCATTTGTTTTTGTTCGATGGGAAAAATGTAAACATTCTAACTCCACCGTCAACCAAGCAAAATGGAAAGGTTAAAGGCAAAATTATCGAATCGATTGATTCATATTCCAGTAGTGTAATTGTTTGATTGATTGTTTCATCCATCATTATTAAACAAACACAACAATCAAACACCTGGATGGATTCTGATGCAAACATGAATTGCGCTTCTCTCTCCCTCACTTAATTCTTTGATTACGTCATGGCCGAGTATCATCCTACCTATCCACCCACCTCTTCTCCCATCTATGTTGGTTTGTTTGTGTTTGGATCACACCACCAAGAGATGAGTAAAGTGAATGTGTTGGATAGACAAGGTGGTCGTCATGGTTATCTGTTTTGGGCCTGCTTTGATCACAATCAAGCAACCAAGATCGTCATCTCAAACAACATCATTTTATGGAATGGGAACAACACCGAAACACCATAATCATTAATGATGATTAACGTCGTCGTGGTCGTGTGCTGCATATATGTGTGTATGGCATATTCAAGGAATTAAAAGAAGAATAGAAATACAGGAGACAAGCAAAACAGAATCGAATCAATTCTGAATGGCAAACGCGGCGCACAACTATTTCAAAACATTCTTCACATAACAGATATTGTCAGCCACCCAATACTCTATATAATTAGTGATGTGTTGCAGCATTTTTCACTTGGATCCAAGTTTGCAACACCATCACCATAACCGTAACCACCACTATAGCAAGAAACAGCAAGAAAAAACCTTGGAAAATTAGTTGAAACGGTAAGTTCTTTCAATGAAATGGCAACTCTGTTTTTCTGGTTGCCATTCGAATTGTGATATCAGTCTGACACACACCAATCAACCAACGGCACACCAGGTTTGAAAATTGCCAATTTTGCCAGTTCTCATCCAACCTCACCTCAGCTTAAGATTTGATATCTGTGTTGATTCGAGGTTCAAACCCAATCCTTTTCCAATCTGACAATCATCGATTTTAGCAAGATTCCAAAACAACAACAACAATGATGAATTGTGTTCTACTTCGTAAATCTCACATACCAATATTGGTGTTTATATTTTTTGGTCTGGCTCGTGGAGCATATTTGGTGGATTTTTCCAATATGATACAGCATCGTAACAATTTAGCTAATAATGTCAAACGTGATGGTAAGTTTCTCTAATATGATCAACAAATCAATTCATTCAATCATTCATTCAGTCATCGACCTTGTCAATAAAACAATTTAAACAAATCAATGTCCATTAGTCAGTCAATCACACATATTAACTGAATGAGAGAGAAGCCACCATATATTTAGTTGGTTAGTCCAGTTCAGTTTCTGTGTGTTTTCGTGACTGTTTCCATTATGATTACTACCTGCAAAATTCACCGAAACCCAAACATTAATCAATGATTAATGCGTGTGTGCTTTCACAATAACCATAACCATTAACCAAGAAGATTAATTAATTAATTATTACGTGACTCAATATCATGCAGGTGTATTACTTGTCATAACTCATTCTCACTGTTTCTCTCATTCATTTCTGCTGTAATCCAGTGCCCCCATTTCCAATACCATCATCATTGAATGATTAATGAAGGAATCATGACTGACCGGCAATCATCATTATTGAAATCATTTTTCATTTACACACCCACAGATCCTGAACGTTGCCATCCAACGCAGCCATTTCGATGTCCCGGAAATTCTTTGATTTGTATATCGATTCAATATTTATGCGGTAAATATCTTTCATCTACAACAACAATATATTAATATTTACTTTTCCACAACTATCACACAACCACACACATACATAGATGGTGCGCCCGATTGTCCCGATGGTTATGATGAAGATACATCGTTATGTACAGCAGGTAAGATCATCCTCATCCACTGCCCAATTGCCCGACTCACATCATCATCTCTCTCTGCTCATCCATTATTCATCGCATTTCGGTAAAGGTCCAGTATTTGTTTTTGTTGTTTTGTTTGTCAAGTTTGTTTTCGATTCACTGCACAAACATAATGGGTGACATTTTTATGATTATACTGACTGACCACCACCACCATATCGCATTTATCATTGTGGATCATCCCATTTTGCCAATCTAATTATTCGAATGGAAATGAGAGTGATGATGATGGCTTTTCCTTTCCCAGAAATTACTCCATATCTTGATTATGAATGCTTTGCCACCCACAATGATGACTTTTGACCTTTTGTTCACTTTTTTTTCATTTGGGAACTTAGCAAAAAGGCCACCTGTTGAAGAAACAGCCAATTTTCTTCAATCCCTATTGGCAAATCATGGCCCCAATTATCTGGAAAAATTATTCGGCAAAAAAGCACGTGATGCATTGGCTCCATTAGGAGGCTCACATCAAGTGGCTGTTGCCTTGTCCGGTAAGTGTGTCGATTCACGTTTTGCTAATCCATCACCAATCATATCATCCTCACACAAACAGAAAGCGAAACTTTGGACGATTTTGCCAGCGCTTTGCATCTAATGAAATCGGACAAAGAACATCTTCGCAATATTTTAATCGCCGTTGAATCCGGTGATCTGGGTCTGCTTAAATCGATGGGTATCCGTGACAGTGAACTAACCGACCTGAAACTATTTCTCGACAAATTGGTCCAAACTGGATTTATGGACTGAATTTTACGAAAAATATTCTCTATTTTTGTCTACCATCACCACCACCTACTCAATCAATCATCGTAATGATGATGCGTTTGCAATATCTATTTTTATCGTTTGCTTGTTTGTCTATCACACACCATTCATTCATCCATTCACACTGACCACTGGACACTGAAACATCGATCAATCTGTCTCCCATTCCTTTCCATATTTCCCCCTTTCTCCCTCCACCACACAACATTGTGTTTCGATTTTTTGTTGACAAATTCTATATTTGTGTTTGCTGAATCGTGTAATGTAACCTAAAATAGTCTACCCCTAAACAAAACAAAATTGAATGTAGCCTGTGTGCGTGTGTGTGTGTGGAAAGTGTGTAATATCGTCGTCGGCCGACAAATGGCCCAATTTTTTTTTTGTTGTGAATTTGTGATCAATCAATTAATCATCATTATCATCATCGTCATCCTCATCTTTGCGTTGTCGTCTTCATCGTCATTGACCGTCGTCATTGACAGTCATCATTCATCGATCAATCATTCAATCGAAAATGGCAATCAAAACAATGAAACCTGCTGATTATTAAGATTATTAATATTAATATAATTCATTAAAAAATCATTCATTTCATTTGGATTTTGTCTGAACAAATTAAATTACACAAGCCAAACATTATTTTTGATAATAAAATAATATAATCATTTTTATTATAGAAATGACATAATTGGGGACATCAACAAACAGAGAATAATTCATCAACCAAACAATTAATCGTCTTGCGATCGCATTCGTTTTGATATTTCTCGTAATCGATGTTCAATAGCCGAATGTAATTGATCGATATCTTTCGGATTTGCCTATTTGGTTTGTATGAAAATGACAAACAATTAAACTCATCATAACCATGACAATAATACAAACCTTGATCATATAAATGCCATCGATATATGTGAATCGTAAACAATTTTCACTGGCCAATTCGAATGTCATCCCGGCAACAATCAATGCGTTCAGGATTAACCGATAAGCACCAGCTGTTCGCATCACTATATATCCACAATCATTCAAATCAGTCAGTCACAATTACTAAACATCTAGTCCAACTCACCTAATCGAGAACAGAGCTTTTCATCTTTCATCACATCGTTCAGATGGAGCGGACCACGACCTTTTTCCACCCACGTTGCTTTATCAGTGTCCCAGGCATATAGTCGTCCATGGATGCTTAGCACATTCTGTTCGTCTGCAGAAATAGGACATTTAGAATTTGATTGTTTGATTCAATTCAATTCAATAATTACCTTCCTCGCCGGTAATTACTTCGTATTTGCGTTTGAAAATGCTATCAGCATTATTGTCAGCACCATTTTTCATGATCGACATGAACGATGTCGATGAATCAGGATGATCATCCGGATTTTGTTGAGTAAATGTGTTGATAGTTGATTCTTCGCAATTCGATACATCACTGAACGATAACAAACAGGACGAAGATGACGATGATGATACTGCGGCGGCGGCAGTCGTCGATGCATTCGTTTGAAATGATAATGAGGATGATGAAGTAGCCGCCGTCGCTTGGCTGTTAGTCACCGAATCGCTGGACTGATCAATCACAACCCTATCTTCGACTTTTTGGCCAAACAAAAATGCTCGAGATCCACCACCGTCGACCATCATCGTACTTGCAGGACTTTTTATGACAGATTTGTTCGTTTCATCATTGGTCGATGTGGCCAACGACGAACTGATCATATTCGAACCGTTTGCGGATGATAACGTCATACTCAATGGTGATGACAATTTAATGAAGGATGGTGTCTTTATTTTACCAATGTCTGCTTTGTTCAATGAAATGAATGTTTTGCTTGCCGAAATTGTTTCGTTCGGTTTCCGAATGTCTATATGACCGAGTGAAAATTGGATTAGTTTCACCAGGACAAGAGAATAGAACTCAACTCACCTGATGAACTGTTATCGAATGTTTTCAGAACGGATGGCTGAAGAAACGAACCAGAACTGCTGCTGCTGGTCGAATTTGGCCCCAACGATGAAGGAATCAATTTGGGTGGTGCGAAAATAATTTGCGATTCCGTTGATGATGAATCCGATGCATCACCATCCGCACAATTCGTAGTGGCGGCTGATGTTGATGATGATAATGATGAATTCTGATGAAAACTGGTTGCTCGTAAAAATGGATTGTTAGGTGCGATATTAGAACTGAGTAAAAAATTGGCTCCATTCGACGACGATGACGGTGAACAAATCGATGGCGGTGGTGATGAATATTTTTTCTGATTATCACCATCGGTATTGGCTGATGGGCCACTGGCCGTATCGATCACCTGAATGACAGGTGTCGGTGCCGCTAATTTTGAAGGCGATTTTATCACTGATTCACTTCGTTGTATTATATGAGCAGGATCTTTTCGTTGATGGATGTCACAATCGTAATCATCAATTTCATCATCGTCGTCATCATCATCGGGACCACCATCGTTGGAATCGTTGGACAATGATGAAGATTGAATCTCATCTAATCTTTTCAGTTCTTTATTATTAGTGAAACCAGGTGACGATGATGATGATGACGCAACCACGACACTATCATCGGACACCATTGCCGGATCGTTGCAATCCTGATGTGACATTTAGATATTCGCAATTCTTTAGGCTCGCTTGATCAGTTCGCACAAATGTCAACAGAAGAAACCTGGCTGGGAAAAAAACGTTTAAAAGTTGTGTTTTGTCCGATCGAATCGAAGTAATGATCAAACCTTTTTCAATCGTTCAAGGCAATCAGAATTAAGATCAGAGTCAGAATTGATTCAAAAAGATTCCATTAAGTCAATTTTTTGATGATAAATTCGGAGTGTATTCGGCAGACTGAGTGAACAAACAAAACAAACAACCGTGTTTCGGTTCGGTTCATCATTGTTTGCGCGCCAACAGCGCATGTGTGCTTCATATTCCTATTTATAAATTGATGAGTGTTTTGTTTTTTTCTGTTTTTTGTTGTTCTTAATCCCATTTGATTTAATCAATTAACCTATGGTGCTATTGATCATTGCTCAATGTAAATGATCATTTTCTATCCTTAATTGTTTTGGCTAATTGTTCCTGTTAATTGTTCAAGTCAATGCACTAATCAAACAACATGCTTCCATCAATGGCCATTGCCAATAAGCACACCAAGCAAAACACAAACCGAACACATTCATAAATAACGTGTAATAATGATAAAAAATTTTATTCAAAAATAATTAAAAATCAACAAAATATGACAAGCAAAATGATCACTAAACAAAAAGGAAAATACAAATATACAATTCATTCACAGATAGTTTTACAGACATGATTCAATCAGCAGGAACAAGATTGGTCAGATTTAATATGCGAAAATTATCACTTCTTGATGAGGATGAATTCGATGATAATGATGATGATGATGACAAGGTGGAGGTGGTGGTGGATGAAGGAGGCAAAATGGCCAAATGGCCATTCTTGAGGGCAATCAGGCAATTATCACGATTGAGCAGATAAAGTAGATCACATTTGTAAGAATAACATATACTAATTAGCAATCAATTAGAAATAGATTAGAAATAGATTGACAAATACTACAACCATAATGCTTACCCAATGATTGGACTCAAACAATTAGACGCTATTGAAGCAATGATTCGAATCAGTGTAAGATCCCAAGAACTCCATAACCGAATTGAACCATCGGATAGTCCGGTAGCAATAACATTGATGGAAATACCTTCCGGACAAGAAGAATAACAAATGGCTGTAATATATGGCTCACAATGATTAGTGCGAATATCGGCAATTGGTTGTCCGTTCAATGTGAACACATGAAGTTGACTGGTCAATTGTTGTTGTTGTTGTTTGCCATATGTGACTATGGCCATATCGCCCATTGTATTACTGATGGTAGACATGACTGCCGATGCATTGGCATTGTTGTCGAGTAGTGTTCGTAAGTATTGTTGTTTGTTCATATCCCATACAATGCATCGTCCATTCGAATCAGTGGATAGAGCCAGGTGAAAATTTCGATTAATAGTAATCGATGTAATCGGTGATTGATGGCCAACAAACATTGATGGTCGATCTTTTAATTGAATGTTGTGCAGATCCTGTATGTATGTGATGATTAGGTAATTTCAATGAAAATGTTCAAAGTGAATGACACTTACATATTGCTTGTCAAATTTTAATCGATAAGCAATGATTCTACCGGAACGATATCCAATCAATATCCAATCATAATCGGGAATCGATTGACACAGGCAAATCTGAAAAACAAAATGGCAACTACAGAATGATGATCACAACAAAAATGACCTACCTCATCCAGGAATGCATTTTCAGCATAAAATAGACGTTTATCTTGTTGATTACGAAACCAAACGGTGGTATGATGTGGTGACCAAGTACACAACGCATAAAAGATGATATAACTAGTATTGATGAATGGATTTCGAGCCTGATTATAAGCAACTAAGGGCGAACAGTTCCGTGGCAATAACAACAGATCGTTGGTTGGCAATGCCACTAAACGATCAATAGCAAATGCGAATCGTTTTTGAAAACAAATAACCGGTGTTTGATAGATGGGTGATCCAACATAATTGCCCCATTTTAATCCATTTACTTCGTTCATTGCTGCAATAACATTATGATCATCGTTGTTACATTCCATAGCGGATGCCACTTCTGTTTGTATAGCCGGATGAGGCATCTGAAATAGCTGACTAGGCATCTGGCCATAAGTTTTAATCATCGTTTTCAATGCATTACGTTTAACGCAATCCTCGATTCGCGACAAATCGGCCGTAAAATGTGTAGCAGGATGAAAAACATTGATAGCTTCGATAGCTGCCGGACCACTTTGTTTGTAGCCAAAAATCAAATCAAACCAATGATTCAGATGGCGTGTTACATAATTCGATTCCAATGCCTGGCGATTAATCAGCGTAAACAGGCGAGCATTTCCTCTTGACCACGGTGGTAATTTAACACTATCAACACGTTCACCATTTTGACGGATGCCCAAATTGAATCGTTCACAATTTTGAAGAAATTCTGGTAGATAAAAAAATTCCGGAATCATTTCCTTAAAACCATTGGTCGAATCTTCGGTAGCTAATCTCCATGTAGTTTGAATGGAATGAAAACTTCGATCCGGCAGATCAAAATTTCGATCCTGATAATGCAAAAACATCTGAGTGTACGGTGGTAGACGAACCAGATAATAGAGCACAATACCACTATTACTATAATGAGCACCATAATGATAAGGTATCGATGTTATTGATGATTGAACAACATCGGCTTTTTTCGTTTTAGCATGATGATCACGAATATTACGATTCTCGGCTTCAATGTAATCATATTGATCGATATAATATTTTTCACGTTCTTTTTTCTGCACGGCAATCGGTTTGGCCAGGTCACGATAGCAACGGCCATCCAACAGATTGAGTATTTGACTGGAATAATCCGACAGAACAAATGGAAAAACTGGATATTGCATTAGGTCATTGAATGTTCGGCCACTCAGACGATTCAATTGCATGAGGTAATCAAAATTTGAAAGATGACGTTCACGCCACATTTGCGTAAGTGACACCAGGCTGATCGAATCATTAAGATTGATTAATAGATCGCGATTCTGTATCAATTGATGATAACATTCATCACGATCGGTAATCGATTCGAATGAAATCAAATAAGTCAAGCCTGATTCAAGTAGAATTTCGATTGCTCGATTCTGCAATTCATATCGACATTTACGTAGTTCTTCGATTTCATCCAAATCTATGGAAAAATTTTGAAAAAATACACGCTTCGAGCTGAAACTATTATCAAAATGATCATTATCACCATGATGATTGGCATTGCAGACAAATTCAATTTTGTTTCGTTTGCATAGAATTTCGCCATCAATTTGATCATCATAAAGAATAACATTGGCCGATGAAATGAATAGCAATGTCTCATCATTATCATTATCGTCCACCATGCTTTCTTTGCTTAGTTCGTTGATGGAAACAGATGATGATTGTTGGTCCATAAATGTAGCAAACAATTGTCTCGATCGCAATTGTCTTGGATGGTCATCATCGTCGGTGCTCATAACATATCGATCATCCATTTCAAGAAAACAACGTTCCATTTTCATACGAATGCGTCCCTGCTGACACTCGAATGGACTTAATTCCCAACTTTGCGGATAATATTCTGGTAAAAACCAACAACTCTTTTCATGTAATAATTGTCCAATCAATTGAATCAATCTGTTTTGTTGAGTTCGATTGGCTAGTTGTTGTCGTTTCAAGTATCGTAGATAACGTTTCTTTTGGCAATTTTGAGCTAAAATTATTCGATCATTAACACGAGTTGCTTCATTCACAACTTTATCATACACCATGGACATTTCGCCGAATATTCGACTCGATGAACGATGCAATCGAGTTTCATAATCGTTTCGTGCCGCTTTGATTCGTTCATGCCAGCCGGCCAATATGGATTTGAAAAAATATTGATCCTTTTCCATGCCCATATCCAGATTGAATTGGTGACGAAATTTTCGATAAACATGACTCATCAATATTGCCGATGGTTGTTGTTGTTGGCTATTGTTATCGTTGTTGACCGAAACAAACGATTCATCGAATGCAGACCAGCTAAAAATATTCAATTCCTTCACACCAAAATCAATCAAATCACGAAGAAATTCATCCATCAAAAATCGAAATTGATCATCATGTTTGTCGACAAATTGCTTCAATTGATCGAATTGATGACTTTTTTCATAAAACAAGTGCAGGCAAAAGATTCGATCATCCAATGATTGCAAATGTGACATGAGAAATGTCAAAAGTTGATTCAATAAACTTTTCAAGTAATCACGATTATTCGAGGAAAAAGATTTCCAAAGCCAGGTTTTCTTGGTCGGATTGTTTTTATTTTCAATCTGATCAATCAATTCAAGTAAATGATAAAGTAATTCCCGTTGAAAATATTTTTCTTTTTGTCCTAAATCTATTTTAGCATTACGACCGATGATAAAATCAACCGACTTTCGTACGACCGATTTGATACGATCGATGATAGTTTTCGCATTCAATTGACCAGAACCGGATTTATTCGATGAAGCAGCCCGATAGATTCGATCGAATGATTCGAAACAAGAACGGAATATTGTTATCTGAACGTTACGTATGGTTGTGACAACAGTCTGCGAGGAAACTTTACGTTCAATCATAGCATAATAGTTGATTAAATCACTTAGCAAATAATCATAAAGATGCATATCTTGATGGCAATCATTATTGTAGCCGGTGCTGATCATGGCCACAATGCGATAAATAGATTCATTCAAATGTTCTCGGTTATATTTGTTTTGATCTTCAGCTGGAATCGATAACGTTGTATTAACATTGATCAACAGTTTGGATAATGATTGTGCCAAACCGTATTGCTTATGCAGATCATTCAATTGATTGATTGTCATCTGATCGAGAGTGTGATATAAAATCTGTAGAATTTGATAACATAAACTGATTGGCTCGAAACATTTTGGCAATAGTGCTAATAATGGAATGAAATTTTCCAGCGATACTTTCGCAACCCAACGTTTTAGATCGATAATCATTGATTCGGGATGTTTGCATAGATCATCCAGACGACGTTGATTGGTTAGGTTGAACAAAAATCCAATGCAACAATTCATTATCGATTCATCAGCCAGATAATGATATAATTGATTCGATATCATCAACAAACCAAGTGTTTTTCGTTTTGACCATTCTTGTTCCGATGATTGAAATCCCAGCAGCTGACTAAGTTTGAAAAATGTTGCCAAAGCTTGTCGACGAACCTGGCCAGATGGATTGTTCACCAAAACAACGAGAAAATCGAATAAAGCAATATTTTCCGATGATGAAGAAAGCAAACAATCATCGTTGGCCAACATTTGATCAACATTTCTATCGAGAAATCGGATTAATTCCTCGGTGATTGCTTGACAATGGTGTTGATTATCATTGCGATTGCCATTCGTCGACATGGTCGGTAGTTCATTATCATCATTCTTCTTGTTCGGTTGATTATCAACAACAAATTCCGAAACAATTTCCCAATCATCATCCGGATCATCCGAATCGTCATCGACATTAGTGGTAGATTGTGGCAAAAATAGTTGCTGTTGCGAATGTTTGTTCAGATTTTTCAATTCAATCATATCGAGATCATCGTCATTAGTAACTTCGCAAGAATCTTTAACCATAAGCCATGTGGAAGGAAAAATATAATAAAATGATGCTTTTGTTTGATTAACATGCAGCCATTGCGTTGGTTGTAATAGAAGCAAACAATCCATTACTGAACGCAATAATCGTGGTTGTTTGCCGCAACTATTTTCAATTAAACTTTGAATAAAACGTATAAGATGATCATATGAATCGAACAAGTGAACACCACCATTGTGATTATGATCGATCATGAGATTGAGATGACCATCTTTAATCATATTCATTAGATGATCAAACGTATCGGTTCGTTCAAGTAACAGTAAAAGATTGTACGATTGAAATGGATTCGATGGTGATGTAAGTGACCACAGTATTTGGAAAAACAACTTATTAGTGGCTGGGTTTCGAATCCAAATACGCCATGAATCAATGAATGTTGTAATGTTTGATGACACTATTATCAATGGATATTGTTGACCATTATTATTCGATGGCCAATACAAGCAAAATTGCGCAAAGGTTTTCAACATTGATGTCGTTGGTGATTTGCCCGCACGATTTAATGAATATGATATCAATGAATATGCTTGATGATAACAATCAAACATAAAACCATGATAATAATGACTATGGTAGGTACGAAGAATCAATTCCATCGACTCATTCCATATCTGTTGATTATCGGTACGTTCCATTAGATAGAGCAATAGAAAAAGAAATACAGAAATTCCACCCGTATCGGAGATTATCCGAGCCACATTCGATTCATCTATCCGGTTCAACGCACCGTTCAATTTGATGCAATAGATTTGAGCTTCTTCATCATCCGCATTTTCAAATGATGACGATGTAATTGATTGATTTGTTCGTTGAAGAAATGTTCGCAGCAATGGATTCATCATCGAATTGGATTCTGTTCGTTGTTGAGCAGGCCACAGATAATAAACATTGGGTTTCGATGCACGATAAACCATAACTAAATTGGCCATAATCAAGTGGGATGAATTTCGAATTAAGCAATTCTTTGTGGCTGTCGACGACGACATTAATGTAGTCAGCATATCCAACAAAGATTCATCGATAGCCAATTGGCGAGGCAGAACAAAATATTCATTACGTTGAATGGAATCATCACCCAGGTGATGAAAATGATGAAAATCTGGTCCCAATGAACATAGCAGAATACGACCAAACGGGGGAAGATGTTCGCGGAAAAGTAAAACATTGGAGAGTTTATAATGAAAATCCGTAATGCGATGAGATTGATTGGAACCTAACAGCACTGCACAATTTGATGCTGTCGATTCATTGGTTCGACGATTTGTATGATGATTATACAATGTTGCTGGATATGACCATTTCAGAAGTTTCTCCGGACCACCATTCAAAATTTGCCGCATTTGAATTGAATGTGAATGATTATTGCACTGCTCTTCAAAATCCAGACAAATCAAGTTCCAACAGCCAAGATTATCGGCGCGAATACTTGGCATGAAATTCTCATTCAAACAAAATATTTTTCCATTACTTTTCCTGGTTAATCGATAGACAAAACGATTATAACGGTAATCGAACCATATTTCCACCGTAATACAATCTAAAACCAATGAACAAACGTGCAATTCATTGCTATAGTGGTGGCCTGATTGACTTTGTCCCGCACTGCCACTATTCTTTCTTGTCTTTTCAACAAGTGGAGCACGTTTTTCCAGAAAAATCCAATACGCTAATGTTAATCGTAATGGAATCTGGTGTTTGATCCGAGAGCCATTCAACGGAATGGCCAATGCAAATGATCGAATGGCAATGTTGTCGTTATCGTTGTTGTTATCAATTCCATCATCATCATCATCATTCATAGAATCAACCAATTCATCGACCCAATCAGTGATTTGAGTTTTCGTTTGTTTATCGTTCAAAGATAATCTAGTTGTTGGATATCGAAGAGAATATTGTGGTAGCGGCGATTGATTTCGTTGATCATCAGCATCCTCCGAAGAAAAAAGACTTTTATTCATCAACGATAACAGAGATTCATAATCGGCATCCTTTTCTTTGCAAAGCTCAATCAGCATTTGTATGGATTGGGATGTCAATCGATTAGGCAATAATCGAATTAACAAATGCAATAGTAATTTTTTCAATGGTTTATATTCATTATTCAATGTGGATGATAAGAGCCAGCGAAAATGTTTGACTAAAGTTTGTTGGAAGTTAGCCATAATGCTAATGTTATCATGATTATCCTGACAATAGCCAAGAATTTGTTTGAAACACATGGCTACCATGTTTAGATCGTTTTTCAAATTCGAATCACGATCAATATTCGGTTGCTGAGATTGTGGCTGCTGTTTTTTCGCCACCAACCATTCACTCAGAAATTTCAATACCGTACACAAAAGTAAAGGATTACGAAGCGATGGTGATGGACATTCGGTCGAATCATGTTTAGCAGCTACCATTTTCTTCGATTGTCGAGCCAAACATTCAATATCAGCTTCATAGCCATCATCATCGATATTCAAATCAAAACTTTGCAAATTATCGTCATGATCATCATTACATTGATCGCTCATAACAACAACACTGTCGAATGATGAAGTTCGTTGTTGGTGGCTTTCAACAACCAATAATAAGTCAGTCTGACTCTTATGCTCAACGTTGATGATTGAACAATCGAATGATACACGAATCAACATGGATAATAATTGTCCAACCAATTGGGTTATCCTCGACGATGATGAAGCAATCGGATTCAATTGTAATATTCGATTCACATGATCAATGAGACAATTAAATTGATCGCCAATAAATTCATCAATAGTTGTTTGATTCGAATCGATCGATGATTCCAGGCGTTGTACAAGTGATAATAAAGATTCCATCAATGATATCAAGTGTTCACAAAATTTCCAATGTTTTTCTCTGGGTGTTGATGATGCGACAAGCAATTTCAGTTCATTCAATGTTTGTTTGAATAATTTACCCGAATAAAACCATAATTTCCACGTAAATTCATTGTTGTTCAACAAGTGGACCAATTTTGGATAAAGTTTAATCGTGCTATTCCCCAACCATGCCAATCGATTTAAATTGATGAATATTTTCGTTAATCGATCAATTCGTTGGCTAACAATTTGATCGGTAGGATTATCGATAACAATATCAAAACTACGATGTTTGTAGTATTCGAAATATTCGTTCAATGATTCCATCGTTGGATTCGGTTGATTTGATTCAAAATGTTCAATTGTTTTCGGACGAATACATTCAGCAAAATGATCTTCGAATAGATCCATAATGATGCCGATTGTTTGTAGCTGGTCATCAATCGTATTGTCGGTCAATTCACTCATCAATAAATTACGCAACAAATCGATACTTAGGCAGGCTAGTTCGTCGGATATGGGGTTATCCGAAGATTCGTGATTCGAATATGAAATGTATTGAATGATTGCAGGCCACGCTTTTTGCTTGGAAATCATCTGAATTAGCGATTGTCCATCTTTTGCACCATTTTGGTCATTGCGTTTGTTGATTGCGGGTTCAGGTGTAGCGGCAGCCGCTGCAGCAGTCAAGAGCCGTAAACCGAATAAACAAACATCGGATGGATATGATGATTGGTTATGATTAGGATGAGATATGATCGGTATGATAACATGAGATAATATTGATTGCTGACAATGATTATCAACCAAGCAAAATAGATTATATAAATGTCGATAAACTGATTGTCTGGTTTGGATTGAATCAGATTTGAGCAATGTTCGATAATGATTTGCCAATAAAATCATCAAACAATTATCCCATTCCATTTGCTTCTGTTTATTATTATAGGATGACAGCCAACAACCATTGCCATTATCGGTAGCATAACCTTCACTATATTGAGGAGATGATAATGATTCTTGTTCATAATGTTGCTGTAATGGTTCACCACCATCATCTACTGAACCATTAGACAATCGACAAAAGCTACATTCATTCAAGTATTGAGTAGCGGACGATGACGATGATGTGGATGATGATCGTTTGCCATTTGTTGGTTGTTGTCGTTGAATCCGTACATTCAATTCAATCAGATTGAATATAGCCATTCGTATGGATGGTGCCAACGATCCCGTAACAGTGGTAGCAATTATTAATAAATATTTGCAATATCTTCGTAATACACAACAACAAATGATTAATTGGGATAATTGTTGACTTGAATGATTCAATAAACGGCCAACAACAACACTCGACGATGATGGTGATGATGATTCATGATTTTTAGCTAACAACAATATCACTTTGATTAATAAGGAATATAATATGGCGCAAGGAAATTTATCCATCCCAGATGACGATGAATTAATGTTTATGTGAAAATGGTGATGGACAAGGAATGGTGAAAGATTGCAGCGAATATGACGTCGTTTACGGCGACGACAAATCTGGCGATGACATGATAATGAATGATTATATTGAATGGCAATATGCAATTGTTTCAATAATTCAATCATTCTATATAGTCGGCCATCGTTGACATGCGGTTGGTCGTTGAATCCGATACGTTTAACAATCTTCAACAAAAATGTGGCCAAATTCGAATGTTTTTCATCATCATTATCATCAACACCGTTATCATTATCCAAGTCTTCTGAATCGGATGCGGCAAACATAAATGCTACGAATGAATGAAACAAATTGGTTGCCATTGTTATGTTGTTCCAATCGACAGTATAATGAAGATGTGTCAACGATTGTGATATGGCTATCATCAAGGTTAGCAAGCCATTTCCAGTTTCAATAAACTCATTCCAATTGTCAGTGTGATGATGATTAACCAACTTCATCCATGATTCGATCAATCCAACTTTATCGATCAATTCGATTCCCACCAATGGTCTATTTCGGCAAACGACCGTACAACTTGTTAATAATAATCGATTCAATTGGATAATCTCAATGTTTATCTTGTTGGCAAAAGATTTATGCATCAAATATGATAATTCCCGTATGATTAACATTGAAACTTGAACACTAAAACCCCCATTGCCACGATCTTCGTCTTGTTGGATGGAACGAAATCCATTCTTTTCGAATGATACCAATTTGAATAGCAAATGTTCCAATATCATTATCAGTTGTTTTTTTGTTGGCTTTTCCTGATTGACATTAGCCATCGTAACTAGGGGCATTTCTATGTTGGTATTGTCGTTATCATTGTCGTCGTAGGTGGCGTTGACCAAACATGGTACCATATCGATCACTTTTAATCGCTGTCGATGATCATCACGTTCATCATCACTACTGCTACTGCCATCATCATCATCGTTGTTGTACCGATGTTTCGATTTTTTAGTTGCAGTTAGGCGACCACCAAACAACGAAACAGCAGTGGCATTATCTTTACTTTTGAACCAACTTTTTACTTTGATCGGTGATAGAATGTCCATTGGTTCATTTCGATTCAATGTTTTTAGATAGAGATCTTCTTTGAAATTTGTTTGATTTTCAATCTTTGTCGAACAATCAGTGGCAATCGAATGCTCATCATTATCATCGTGGTTGATGTTAAGAAAATGACCAAGGACTAGAATAAATATTTTGGCCAATTCAATATTATAGATACAGCTGCCACCTTCATGGGCGAGAAAATGTTCGAAACATTTTAGGAACTTGAATCCAACATGGTCATGGAGAAAATATCCATCGAACAATCGATTTGGTTGATCATCACTTGGATTGGGATTGGGAAATGTCGAATGACTATGATTACTTAGATCAATGATAAATTGATGGATGAGCCAATTGCCCAAACAATAATGAGTGGTTCTTTGTAATTGATTTGTCGATGTCGTTGGCCGATTGTGGTTGTTGTCGAATGATAATTCTTCTTCTTGAAAATAAACAAGGCAACAATCGAGTAAACGGATCAGATGATTTCGTTTTTCCTTCATTGGAATCGAAAAAATAATGTTATGGAATAAGGAACAATTCTTTCTTACCTTTGGTTCATTTTTCGAATTCAATTGACATGTTTGCCATAATTTTCGTAATTTTTGTGGTCCACCAATTTGTTTGGCCACCATTTTCTCGTTGATTACAAATGGTATCCTTTGAACTTACCAACCCAGCAGCACGAGGAAATTTATTTAGCAAATTTAACAAAATAATGATGATTACATTGAAGAAAACAACATGACAAAATTTTCATCATTGATTGATTGATTGAGCAACCAAAATCAGTTGGTTGAATTGAATCAAAGCGTTTTGATTGTTATTATTGCTATGATTGTTGTTGTCGTCGTCGTCGTTGTTTCTTCCTTCTGATCGAAATCTATCAAATCACACGCACACATAATCATTATTGGCGTTATCAAATCAATTTAATCAATGCTTACCAGGCTGATGATAATGATGCAAGACGTGTCGGAAACTACTACAATAATTACAATGATTATGTTGTTCTTGTTCAAAGATGTTCAAAACACGACAAGAAATCTTTTTGTTTACCCTGATTTTGTCTGAAATCCCATGGTGGTCGTGGTCGTGTTTATCTTATCAACGACCACACTGACAATCACATACTGAAAATTCATATTTTTTGGCCGATATATTTTTGTAAACATTCCAATTGTACATGCGCATCACAAAATAAATTCAATAAAGTTATACACTGCATTTAGCGAATTTTATACCGGGCTAGTAATTTATTTATTCAAATTTTTATTTACAATTTACAAACAAAAAAGAAATAATTCAATAACAATTTTCAAAGTTATAGTCATCAACCTAACCTCACTCAACCATGAATCACAGTCATAGTCATGGTCATCAACCTAACCTCACTCAACTATGAATCACAGTCATAGTCATGGTCATCAACCTAACCTCACTCAAC